CCTAAAGTATTTATACAATTTATAACGTACAGATATGTAAACTCTCATTCAATTAGAATTCTAATTATATAATATCAAATAATTAAATAATAAATTAAAATAATTAACTAATAAAATATAGTATTCAACACTGTCCCTCTCTCAGGTTGGTGTAGGGATATCCCACATACCCAACTTGCAAACCAAGTTCTGAAAAGTAATTCTACAGTTTACTAGTATCAATCCTTTTACTTGTTCGAAGATCCTGATTTTACTAGATTTGTTGCATTTATAGTTTATGAAGAGTTAAATTGATACAAAATACGCTTTAAGTTTTGAATCTCCTCATTTGAAAAGACTCCAATTGTTGATGTGTCAAGTGTTTCACTTGTCTTAACCAAATTTTCTTGAGCTCTCATAGGTCCACTATTCCTTCTCTCATGACCTGCAGTTGGTTTTCTATGCAACTTTCAGCAAGTATCCTTAGTGTGTTTTGACTTAGCACAATAGTTACACTTTCGTAGATCTTTGAACTGATCAGATTAAGCAACTAATTCAGCTTTCTCAACTGGTGCTATGTGAAGCATGACATTCTTTCTACTATCTTCTTACTGAACATAACAATAAGCTTGTTGTAACGTGGGAAGCAGATCCTTACCAAGCACTAGTATCTTATCATATTCAGTGTTCAAACCAAGTAAGAAATTATAAATCTGCTCTTTTTCCATCAATTTCTAAAATTTGACTGCATTTTCATGACAATCTGCCTGAAAGTCTTGATAATAATCTAACTTCTGATATAATTTACTCAGTTCTAAAAAATATTGAGAAAAAATAATATCTCCTTACTTTGTACTATGAACCTTCTTCTGGAGTTGATAAATTTGGGCATCATTACCCACTTGTAAGTATGCGAGAGATGTTGCATTCCATCTTTTTACTACAGCATCGAGTAACAAATATGTTTGTACAATATGGGGTTGCACGGAATTAATGAACCAAGATATTACTAATGAGTTTTTAGAACCTCAACTGTTACATTTTATATTACTTGCATATGCTTTCTTCATATCACCTATAATGTACCTCTGCAATCCTCTAACTTTAACAAACAATAATTAAGATCTTAACAAAGCAAAATAATTAGTTACATCAAATTTTACAAAACTGATTTGTAATGAGAGGTTATCCAAATAAGAAACTATCTTTTTTCGCTTCTGTCATTTTAGAGAACTAGAAACAGGGAAAAACAATACTCAATAAAAAAACACAGATTTTCTAATCAGCAACAAAGGATGCTAAAAAAGTGCTGCAAACTAGAACCATATTTGTTAGGCAGCGGCTCGACTTGGGTTCGGCTAAAAAATGGCTCGAATTCACCCTAAAAAATGACTCGTACTTTACTCAAAAAAGGCTCGAACTCAGCTTGTCTTGAACTTAAAGTCGGCTCAGCTCAACATGAGCAGCTCGGCTCAAAACACTAAGATCTGTTTTATGCAATGCGGCTAGAAAAGCTTCATGTGCGTGGCTCTCCAAACAGCAGAGGAAGAAGATCGGTGCATGGCAGATTAGACCAAGTCCCACATGCATTTGTGCGTCTATGTGCCTATGCGATGCTAAATAGACGGGTCGGAACGTGTGAGTCAACCAACAGAAGGTAGCTGAAAGGCCAGAGAGAGACGTAGGTCTACATGACACAAATTTGTGTGATGTAGAAAGCTAGAGGTGAGTCGTGGCCAGCAGCTCTGTGCGACATAGATCCCTTAGGCGATGCCACTCAGTCTCTGCGCGAATTTGCGCGAATACCGGATACCAGAACACGCCAGATACCAGAATGCTGGATTTGCGCAAAGATCGCTGCGGCAGTGACTCCGGATTTGCGCGTAGACATTACCAACTCAGCTTATTTTACTATTTTAAGGTTTTAAAAAATACTCTGAATTAAAACCGTAAAATAATTTTATTTTGACTCTGATATCATATTAATTTTTAGAGAAAAAATATAAATTTTATTTCTCACCTTTTAAATTGAACACTTAGAATATTTATTTAATTCATAACGTACAGATAGAGAAATTTTTATTCTACAAGAATTCTAATTTTATAAGATTATTATTCTCATAAAATCCTAATTATATAATACCAAATTTTTAAATAATAAATTAAAATAATTAAATTATAAAAAATGATACTCAACAATAGGTCATTCGATAAAGAGGAGATTAGGCAAGCTAAGAGGAGATTAAGTAAGCTATTTGGGAGTTGGGTCAAAATAAATCCTCGAGGCCAGATGGCATCACCATAGAGTTTTTCAAGGATTGTTGCGAGATAGTTAAGGTGGAATGAAGAAAGTTTTCAAAAAATTTCACATGAATGGTTCAATGTCCAAGAGTATGAACTCCATGTTCCTTCTTTAGTCCCTAGAAAAGATAAATTTATGAAGAATTCCTATTACATACCAAATAGTTTAGTGACTAGCATCTACAAGATCATTATAAAGGTGTTTTTCACAAGCCCAAGTGCCTTTATAGGGGCCAGACAAATCCTTGATGCTTTTTTGGTTGCAGACAAGGTAGTGGAATATATAAGAAAATCTAGGCAAAAGGATTGGTGCTTAAATTAGACTTTGAGAAAATCTATAATTAAGTAAATTGTGGATTCTTAGACAAAATGGTGGAGGTGAAGAGATTTGGGGTTAGATGGCGGAGTTGGATTAGAGATTTCCTAAAATCGATATCAATTACAGTCATTATTAATGGGAAACCTCATGGATAATCTCATGCTTTGAGGGGTTTAAGGCAAGGGGACCCTCTATCTCCTTTCCTTTTCGCTACAGTGGTGGATGTCCTAACTAGAATGTTAACAAGAGCAAACGGAGAAAGATAGAGTGAGAGAACTAAGGATAGACATTGAGATGATAAAGATATCCCATTTTTAATTTGCGGATGACACAATATTATTCCTACAAGATGACAATAGATCTATTGGAAATGCATTTACCATCTTCTAAATGTTTAGGCATTTATTTGGACTTAAGATCAATTTGGCTAAAAGTGGCTTAGTAGGGGTTAACATAAAGGGAAAGATACTAGACAATCTTGCGAGATCCATAAGATGTACTAGGCTAGAATGGCCCATCACTTTCTTGAAGGTACTCTTAGGGAAAACCGTAACAACCAAGTTTTCACTTGGAGGAAGGATTCTTTTGATCCAAGTATGCCTTTCTAGTATCCCCTTGTACTTTTCGTCCCTCTCCTTGGGAGTATAGAGTGTTACATGAGGAGATTTCTATAGACCAGAGTGGAGGAGGATAACAAGGATCATTTGGTGAATTAGGATACGTGTTTCTCACCAAAGGAGTCTAGTGGGTTAGGCTTAGAACATCTTATATCCAAGAATTTATCATCACTGGTTAAGTGGATTTGACGTTTTCCTCAGGAACTGAACTCTTTGTGGCATAAGGTGATCAGAAGCAATTATAGACATGGATGAATGGTTGCGAAGCAATTGCTTAAATAGTCAATTCTCGCCAGAGTCCTTGGAAGGCCATCTCCCAAGCCTATCCCTTACACGCTCATCATGTTCTATCTAACTAGAAGATGGTTATAGAGCCAAGTTCTAGGAGGATACTTGGATGAGCGATCAAACATTGGCCATTAAATTTCCACGCCTCTACAACTTGTCCACAAGACATGACACCCGTGTTTCACAATTTACTTAAAATTGTCATTTTTGCCGTCATTTATCTAACAAGGAAGCTTTTGAAATGCTTGCCCTTTTAAACCTCTTGCATCCCATTCAATCAACATCCCATCCTAACATTACAACATGGACCTGGAACCGTCAAACATATACACATGTGAATCCTTCTTCAAACACCTCATGTCAAGACAAATTATACCCCACCTTTCAATGCCAAAGTGTTTTGGAAATCTTCAATTCCTTCAAAAGTCAAGGTTTCCGATGGACCACCATCCATCGGAAGCTTAACACAAATGATATGCTCCAGACCTTTCGACCTCATTAAGCTTTATCCCCAAACATATGCATGATGTGTTTTGCAGGAGGAGAGACATTTTTATTCTTATACTGTGATACATCATGGAAATTTTGGACAAATTTGATGAAGGTCTTTGGCATATATTTGGTGGACATATTAGTAAGCTGTCATATTAAAGGGGAGGGGTGAAGGCTAATGGCTTCTATTCTATCACTAGCATTTCTGAACTCCATTATAACTAGGAAGCTTTATCTCTAGCAATTATTTGTTTGCATTTCTTTTTTATTGGATTTCCTTTGAGCTTTTTGCAGAGGATGTCTCATTCTCCTTGATTGTATTATTCTTCTTCCCATCTTTAATAATATTTCTTCTTCTATCAAAAAAATTAATAATAATAATGGAATAATTATGGTTTAACCATTACTGCCATTTTTGCTTCTCCTCACCGTAATTTATCTTCTAACTTCAAGCATTGAGATAGGAGGACAAACCAGTGAACAAAAAAAGCGCTATCGAAATTATACCATTCTAAATAGCTTCAAATAATAAAGCTGGAAGCATAAGTTCCAGAAAAGTAAGTTTTCAAGAGTACATAGAGGAGGAAGAGAAAAAGAGAGACAAAAATTTAATACATCAGCTCCAAACATAAATAATTAATACTCTCAGGGGAAAGTAAAAGACAGTATTTCTCTTTAAAAAGAAAAAGAAAAAAGAAATTTGACAAAGACAGATAATGAACATAGAGGAGGATAAGATATCTTCCGAACAGCATAAAAATAGATAGTCAAAACAAGGAAATTAGAACTTTATTTAAAAGAGCCTCCCACCAACAGAGAACAGTATCCCTCTATATAAACCATGTATATAGGTAACCATGGGAATAAGATAAGCACTGAGAAAACACAATATGTGTATATGTCTGTGATTGTGAGTGTGCATCCTTGTGTGTATGTGACATCAAGAGAGAGAGAGATTCCTCAAAGAGCATGATGGAAACAGTTTTGAGTGGTAAGCTACTCACTTGAGTGGATATGCTAACACACGTTGGCCTATGGTCACAAAGCTTGTCTCTTGATTGGACATGAACCAGGCTAAAGATGAGACACTACATGGACACATCCAAAATACGAAGGTTAATAACATCAATACAACAGGAATCTCATAGTAGAAATTATTTGGGGAAGAGTTTGCCAAACCTTCCTGTGAAAACATGCTCTCTGACTCCAAGAATGGTAGGAGGCCGAATTCCATGATTTCCACGAAATTCCTCAAGAAGATTTCTCATTTTCATTGCCTCCTCCAAGTAGTTGTCCTAAAAAGCACCAAAAGACAAAAGCAGATTATACCCATGCACCTTACACTATTATACGAACATATATTTAAACTTGATGATGCTATTATTGGGATATTATCACTAAGTCATTACATAAAATTGTTGAAAATAATTGAACTTTTGTTATTGAATATCAAGACCCTATACATACAAGTATTCTAATGTAAGAAATAAAACCAACAATTGATTACATAGGGTTATTTTACTATAATGCCCTTTGACGTAACTCCTCTAGATTAATTACACATAAAATACATTCTTCAACATTCTTGTTCAAGTTGGGAATAAATATTTTCCATCCTCAGCTTGCCATTGACAGTCTGCAATGTTGGATTGCCAAGTCTTTGGTTAACACGTCTACAAGCATGAGCTAGTAAGGCATGTATAGAACACATATTAGACCATTGCTTAGCTTCCCTTTGATGAAGTATTTATTAACCTCAATATGTTTGATTATATCGCGTTGTAGTGGATTGTGAGTGATGTTTATAATCGATTTGTTGTTATAGTATAAGTATAAAGGACCATCCTACTTGATTTTTAGATTTTCTAGACTTCCCTTCAGTCATAATAACTCACATATCCATTGAGTTAATTTTTCGAAATTGTTGAGAATAATTGAGCTTGTTTTTTTATTGAATAACAGGGTCCTACATATACAAGTTTTCTAATGTAAGAAGGAAACAAACAATTGATTACATAAGACTATTTTACTATAATACCCTTTTAACGTAACTCTTCTAGATTAATTACATATAAAATACACTCTTCAGTACTCCCCCTCAAATTGGGGAATTAGATATTTTTAATCATCAGATTGGGGAATTAGATATTTTCAATCATCAGCTTACCAATGACAATCTATAATGCTGGACTGCTCAAGCTTTTGGTCAAATGGCTGCAAGCTACAAGCTAGTAGGCATATATAGAGCATATCTAGACCATTGTTTAGCTTCTCCTTAATAAAGTGTTTGTCAACCTCAATGTGTCTGGTGCTATTGTATTGTATCAGATTGTCAATAAAGCATATAGTCGATTTGTTGTCACACTGTAAGCTTATGGGACCATTCAACTTGATTTTTAGATCTTCTAAACTTCTCTTTACCCATAATAACTCACATATTCCTTGAGTCATTGTCTGAAATTCTTACTCAATATTAGACTTTGCAACTATATTTTGCTTCTGACTTGTGCAAGCGACTAAGTTATATCCAAGGAAGGTGCATAATCTACATCAATTTCGGTAATGTAGCACAATGTAGGTTGCCCATAATGCACTTCCTTATAAATTTGCAATAACTAACTTACACTCAGTGTATAAGCAATGTCCGATCTTGAGTGTAATAGGTACATTAATCTTCCAACCAATCTTTTATATATTTTCTTTTCTACTAGTATATCCTCTTTTGTTAGGCTCAATTTATCATTGCGACCCATTTAAGTCCTAACTGGTTTACAAGCTACCTTGTCAATGTCCCTTAATAGGTCATGACTACATATCTGTTGGAAGATGAAGATTCCTAATTTTGAGCATGCGACTTCAATTCCAAGGAACTACTTCAACTTTCCTATCTGTTTGATCTCGAACTCTTTTTCATCTTCTTCTTCAATTTGTAGATCCTGTCCCTCTGACAAATTACGGTGGTCCTTCCATATAAATTTCTTTTTATAAATCTCCATTCATGAAAGCATTCTTTATATCAAATTAATACAATTGCTAATCAAAATGAGTAGCTAGACACAACAAGATCCACATTGTCGTCATCTTAATAACTGGTGCGAATGTCTCTTGATAATTCATTGTGACTTTCAGGACTAGAATTTAGAAAATATGATTGGACTTGCTGAAACCAGGCACAGACTCTACTATTTGGATGCACCTGAGAGAGACTTATATGTTATATATTACAGCTTTATTATTTGGGGTACATATATTACTATCAATCACTCAAAAATCTTGTGTCTGTAGACGTCACATTTATTAAACAAGAATCTTAAGTCACTCAATCTTATCTTCAGATGGAGTTTATATTGGAAGATAAAAATACATAATTCATGATAAATTTTAATCTACTACCTATGTCACGCACATCAAAGTCATCACCATAATAAAACGTTCGTAACCCACCAAAAAGCTCACAACCACAAAAAAAAACTTCGAAATCTATCCTCTTAAGAGATTATACTAAACACTAGGTTTTCTCTGGTGTATACAAAGAGTAAGATGCTGAGTACTGAGCCAAAGTCAATCCAAGAATCCGACCATGATCCTAAACTTGATATAAGTCCCAAAAAATTTATACAATCCTCTGATAATGATATACCTATTAGATTTCGTGAAGATACAAGAGAATGCACCAAACAACCTCCGCATCATATCTTGCAACTTGTGTCATTTGACAAATCATCATTAATTCATAAAAAATTCCTCACAAATTCAAACAATAAATATATCTCTAATACCGCATCTGAGATATTATTCAATAAAAAATAAAAAAAAATGTTGAGTATGGAAATGCAAACTCTTAAAAAGAACCAAACCTAGGGAGTGGTGAATCTAGTCAAAGGCAAGAATCCAGTGGGAATAAAATGGGTTTTCTCAATCAAATATGAAATATACAAGACAATCGAGATGTATAAAGTAAAACTGATGACAGAAGGTTATACACAAACATATGAGATAGACTATTAGGAAACATTCGCACAGCAGCCAAGACAAACACTATGGAAATCTTGTTATCATTAGCAACCCATTCTAATTAGTAGTTACAACAGTTTGATGCAAAAAATATTCTCTTACATGGAGATTTAAAAGTCTGCCACATGAATATCTCACCAAATTTTGATGGAGAAGACGGAACAAATAAGGTAAGTAAACTAAAGAAGGCACTATATGGATTCAAACAGTCATAAAAAAGCATGGTTTGTCAGGTTCACAAGATAATGATAGATCTAAGATTCAAGGAAACTCAAGAAGATCAGACTTCGTTCATTAAAACACTAAAAAACAAGAGTTATAGCTTTTTCCCTGTCTTTGATAACATTATCATATATGTTGATAATATTATCATAACAGGAAATTATGAGAATGAACAACTAAAATGAAAACAATGTCTGGCAAAATAATTTGAATTCAACTAAGCAAGTTGAAATATTCTCCAAAAATTAAAATCGTTAACTCTAAATATATTATTTTTATTTCTCATCAGAAACATATTCATGATCTATTAAAATACACCGGCAAGTTAGCATGCAAGCCAACTAGTACTTTTGTCCATCCTACTCACAAATTAGAGATAGCAAAAGAAGATTCACCAGTAAATAAAGATATATATCAAACATTAGTTGAGAAATTGATCTATCTATCCCACATGAAACTAGACATCGAATATGCAATAAGTGTTATAAGCCTATTCATAAAAAATTTAAAAGAAATACACCTACAAACAGACTATAAACATTATAGTCCTAAAAAGGGTAACCATTGAAAAAATTATGGTTAGAAAGAGTAACAAACTACTCCTAAAAGTCTATACCGATACAGATTATACAATATCAGTTGTGGACATAAGATCTACTACGAGCTACTAAACTAGTATCTGGCAAAGAAATTTGAAATCAAGGAAATTAGTAAGTCAAAGCTTTTTTTGGTATTGAAGTCGCTCGCTCAAAATCCAAAATATATATTTCTTAATAGAAACACATTCATGACCTGTTAAGGGACATTAGCAAGTTAAGATGTACATTAGCTCGCACTCCGATTAATTCTAATTTTTGCATAAGAAGATACGTCAGCAAATAAGAAAATATATCAAATATTGCTAAGGAGATTAATATACCTATCCCACGAGAGACCAAACATCACCTATGCAACGAGTGTTATAAACTAATTCATATACAATGCAAAAGAAGTGCATCTACAAGCAACCTATGGAACACTACATTATCTTAAAGGGTTACCTAGCAAGGGAATTATGTTCGTTAAGAATGATAAACTACTCCTAAAAACCTATATTGATGCAGAATATTCATAAGTATGTGTACACAAAAAGTCTACCACATAATATTATTTCTTCCTAAAGGGCAAATTAGTCACCTACAAAAGTAAAAAGTAAAATATAGTTGTGAGATCAAGCGCAGAATCAGATCAATGGCATCAAGGATATGCGAACTCTTACTGATAAAAAAAATTGAAAATTTTAGAATAAAATGGGAAAACTATATGTGCCTATACTGTGACAACAAATTGGATACAAACATCACTCACAATCTGCTGCAACACAACCAGACCAAATACATCAAGATCAACATATATTTTATTAAAGAAAAACTTGACAACGGCCCAATATGTAGCTCACACATGCCCAAGAGTTCTCAATTGGTAGATGTACTAACTAAAAGCATAAGTAATCCAACATTTTAAACTTTTATTTACAAACTGAGGATGAACAACATTTACTTCTTAACTTGAGGAGAGTGCAATAAAGTAAATTATACCCTTTACAATTAATTGTAATTAATTATTTATTTTTTTCCATATAGAAAAGCTTGTATATATATACATGTAAATCTAATATAATATACATAAAAAAAGGAAAAAAAACTCATTCTTAACATGTGTCATGGTGAGATCCAAAAAACCCTAGTTGACCCAGTGATAAGCCTTTTTAAAATCTGACTTCAAGACTAATCCCTCTTTAGTGGCTCTTCTCATAAACTCTACAAATTCGTTAGCTACAAGTGATGCATCCAGTATTTATCTCCCTCCCATAAAGACACTTTGGTTCAGTGATATAGCGTCATCCAAAAACTCACTAAGGCGTATAGACAACACATTTGTAGTAATTTTATAGATGTTGGTTAACAAACTAATCGGACAGTAATCTAAACTCCTTTTAGACCTATCTTCCTTAGGAATGAGGGTTATAAAGATAGAATTCATACTTCTATAAACATTGTCATTCAAATAGAACTCCTAAAAAACCTTTAACAGATCTTCCTCAATCATACTCCAACAAGAGTGGAAAAAAGCTCTAATAAAACCATCAAGTCCAAGGGATTTCTCAAAACCCTAGCCCAAATAGCTTTCCAGATCTCCTCCTCCACAAACTAACGTCGAGATGTTCGGCCAGGCCAATACTAATGGCCCACCAATCAACACCTTTAATAAAATGGCTAGACACTTCATCCTCGATATATAACTACTTGTAAAACTCCATGATTACACGTCCAATAGATTCCTTATCGTGTTCCACTTTCTTCCTTCTAACCCAAGCTCATTAATCAAATGAGAATATGAGCATTAGAAAGAGAAGAAGAGAAGTTGAGGATAACTCGATGGTATTCTAGTATGTTCCAAAAGAGTATGATCATGCCCATACAATTGTAATCTCCCCCTTTTTAAATTATCCAGCCTAAGAAAGTAGGAAGGAATTGACAGGAAAGAAACAAAAATAGAAAACAATAAAGATTAACAACCCAGCAGCTTCTTTGTTCGCACCTCAGCCCTTATGTGTCACATGGATCCTGACACAAAGATGCAGAATCATGTAGCCATACCCTCCTCTGGTGCCTATACGTGTATTGCCTTTGGTCTTTGGTCTACAATTTGTTGGATTGAGTTGGGTTACCACTGGCCCGGCGAGGGAGGAGCTTTGGATGGGAAGTTATTCAAACTGACAAGTAGTCTATAAGGTTGATTCCATCAGCCACTATTTCGTTATTTGGAATGAGAGAAACAGGAGAGTTTTTGAGGATAATGATTCAAAACTTGATAGATTTAAAGAAACTTGGTTCCAGGTCTTGAGTTTTTGATGGGTCAACTGTTTTATGGCACCGAGGCTTTTAGAGACCTTCTTGCTATGTTGATTGATTTCTAGCTTCCTTTTGTGCATGAGTTATACCTTCTTGATGCTTTCTAATGCATACTTTTTCTTCCTAAAAAAGATAAACATTAACTACAAAGTCTTCTTTTTGTTAATTGCTTCCACCACTTTGCAATAAATTCCATCACACCACAATCTAGCCCTTCATAACAAATTCTGAGAATTAATTTGCAAAATGAGTTCCAATTTTTCTAAAAAATTCAAATACCTAATCATAAAAGACTTGGGGTGTAGGGTACAAATAAGGTAGTTGGATAGGAAGCAATTTGCAACAAATGAGATGACACCATAATTATAAGTCGTTCATGCTTCAACATCCGCACATTCAATAAACTAAAGCCCTAAAAGCAAAACATATAATCTTAGAATTAGATATAACTTAGGACTCTTATCTCTTACCCTTCCTTGCATACTTTCTGCAAAGGGAATGTATTGCACAAGCAATTGGGGAGGAAAAGAAAAGCAATTTTTTCCTCCCTAGCAGCAGTTGCAAAAGAAACTTTCTCCCTCAGAGCCAGAAAGTACTTATCAAACACATGAAAAACCTCTCATGGGATACTAACAATCAAAACAAATAAACAAATTTAACCTGGTTCATGTCAATAGTTTGGATAGCTTCTCCGCGGGTGAAAATTATGGCGTGATTTTGGTTTTCAGGTTTCCCTTCCCCAAGCTTAGGATCTCCAGGAAGTTTGATTGAATATATTTCCTGCATGCAAGAGAAGAGAAGAAGCAACAAATGCATCAAGACACGTTTAAAAACTGCACCAAATGCATCAAGACATGTTTAACAACTGCATAAGCTTTAATGGCAAATATTCAAATAACCTGTCAAACGCTATCTATATAAGTTGTGCTCATTTAATTTGGAAAACCATCTAATAAAAGAATTTACAACGTATAATCAAGGAACTACTCCTTGCAATAATACATAATACAGAAAAACAAATCAAGTCAATCTAAGCCATCATCTACCTGATCTTTTCCGTGCATATCAGCTTTAACAAGCTTTGAATAGAATTCCCTCTTACCACTTGCACTACCATTCTCTTCTACATGTATGAAAGCAACTCGAAGAGCCTCATTCCTGAAAGCAACAAATTAAACTAATTAACATTCTGATAATATGTTAGCAAACTGATTAACTAGGTCCATCAATTACATTGTAGAGTTTCATACTACAAGTTATTTGGATGAGCAGAATATTAAGGCCTATTAAATTCCTTGGTTTAAAAGTCAACCCTTGTCACAACCCCTTATTTTCGTATTAAATTCTCTTCTCTATCAAGAAAAGAAATGAAGCACCAAAATCCATATCCCTATTATGCCATTTCATGTAGTGAAAAATAAAGAAAATTAGAGCATTGCTCCAATCAGACAATATCAGGTTTGATAGAAATAGAGTGGACAAATTTTTCAGTGTTAGAGGTCTCTATGTTTTATAAATATAATTGCTCGCTTGTGCTAATCCAAAGTTGTGGAACTTCGAGTACAGTGATATCCAATGAACTCTCCTAGACCAGCTTAACTGATTACTGGTTAATGCAGGACTGTGGCTTAGTCCATCTTGGATGAAATTAGAGCATGGTCAGGATTAACTGGATCAAGGAAAGGAGGCTATGTGATATGCTCTAATACAACACTACCTTTTCCATCTCCATGAATGAAAGAAACATGAGAACTTTTGCATAGAAGGACACCGTATGGTAAAGGGACGGTTGGCTACCCCATCATTTTTGTATCCATATATACTAATTGTCTTTATATGACACTTCTTTCCCTTTTCTTTTAAAGGAACACTTTCTCTATCAAACAGACAAGTAAAAAGGTTGAATTTGGATGTGGTCCCACTCATAATAGAAGAATATATTCACAGAGAATAAGGACCTCCACAAAAATCAAAGACAATCCAAAAAGAAGCAAAAGAAGTACATATATGAAAAGATGTCATCCTTTGAGGGACCAAATACTAGCATCCCAATTCCGATGAACCTCAGGGAAGGCATGTCAGAATAATCTCCATGAGCCTTGGCTCATAAAATAGACAAAAGCGTCCCATACATACTGAGTTGGTGAGTAACAATCATCATAACTCCTCCAATTCTGTGCAAGCCATAAAATCCATAACCATGCAAAAATGGGTGTGAACACCTATTCTTATCATGATGAATTTAACATGCCCCATCTTTTGTTGGTTTTTCATCACAAGAGACCTGACACAAGAAAGGGAACCCAAATATGAACGGAGTACCCATGTATAACTAGTCAAGAAGACTCAGTTCACCCTCCTCTTCAAGCTTCTCTTCTCTTCCTTTCCCAGAAATGACATTGTTTCTATTGTTGTTAAAATAACATACTTTCTGGATGAACTTTTCCACATTCCACGATGACCCTTCACATAGTCCCATTCCTTCCTCTTCTATCTTCATTTCTTTGCTCTCCATCCAATGCCCTTAAGATTTATGAACTCTCTTTATTCCATTCCCACTGCTCTATCCAAAATCACCTCACCCACCACAAAAGTAAACTATCTCCCTAATTTCAAAGGGGTAAATTACTAAATAGGACTGAGTTATCCTATGGAAATATGACGGAATTTTAAAAATAAACATTTGACTTCTAAACAATTTAACGATGATAAAACTTAATTGGATTACCCATTATAATCTTTGCACTTCATTTCCTCAATCAAAAAAGGGAAGAAAAAAAGTTTTGTTTGTTGTTTTCTTGCTTATCTCAGGTGAATCGAATTATACGTTTCCCAAGAAAGAAGTTAACAATAGGATCTACAGTACTCTTTTATAGGAAAAAGTTAAAATTGTATATTTCAGTATAAAGAAAGAAGAAGTAGAAAAGAGAAGAATGGTACTCACCCAAGACTTTGTTGTTGACAAATAGGAAATAAGACCGACAAGAGGATAATCTATGGAATGAGAAAACATACAAATAAAATTAAAGAAAAATGTCAATATAAGACCGCAACCTAATCTCTCTCAAGTGTAGAAAGAGGAACACCCCAAAATAATCATCCACCTTAACCCAATAAGAAGCTTAAGCCCATATTCCAGTGTACTGCAAGAGTATATGAAGCACGCATTAGGAAAATAGCAATATGCTATCTGCACCTTTTTTTCCAAGTAAAAATAGAATACTTGCACTAAAACTTTATAAATCTTTTAAAATATCAATCTGGTCCTCAAACTCCTGATATGTATAAGACGACGACCCTTAATCAAAAAGTCTAGAGTTAGGAACTATAACTCCTTAAATCTGTTAAAAATAGATATTATTTCTCACAAACCCTTCTGTTTCTTTCCTTCCATTGTACCTGTAAGGTAACCTAAGGGAGAAGGCCTAAAGTCTTATTTTAGGGCTTATCCCCATGGATGTCTCTTCATGCTAAAAGCTCCTCCTTCACAGAACCAGTCATCACCTAATTTACCTACAAGACTATAAGTCATAGACCTACTTTGATAAGAAAAATGACACCATAGAGAAAGTGATTGACAAACTCTGCAGCTTTCCCGCACGTAGCACCTTTTCAAAGTAATTTTTCCCCCTTTAATCAGCTTGTCTATAGCTAAAACGCAACCTCTTGCCGCTTCCCAATGGAAAAAAAGCCACTCTAGGTGGCGCATTGATCTTCATATCTGTTTCCATGAGAATTTCCCGCTGACTCTTTTGGGCTTCACCAAAAGAAAGTAAAAGGATTATTGAGGAGGCCCCTTACAAATTAAGCTTCCATACTGGCTCATCAAAGGCCTCAAGTGGCCTCATTTATTGGAAAGAAATTAAATATGTTAATATACCTGGTCACTTCCCAGTCATTGAGATTCCCGACCAGATCCACCACTGAAACATCATTCTAGGAGGGTCAGAGAAAATTTCTGCCACTGTCACCTCTTCACTTTGAGCTAAAGGATAAATTGTGGGAAAATCCTGCTGAAGAGTCCCGCCTTCACTTCATCCATCCAACCAAAACCTCAACCTCTATCCCGATCCAACTTTCCAACAAATTCACCTGTGAAACTCCTTCCCACTAATACAAATGATCTTCCATTTCTCCATGTCATATGAATTCTTGAGCTCCTAAAGTACCATTCCATAGTGTCCATTTCAAATTTAGCTTTGATCAGTACCCACCATAGATTGCCTTGCCCCACATGAATTTTCGTAGTTACTTCCCCAGTAGGGCTTTGTTGAAGTCAAGTGTTGATCTAACCCAAGACCGCCCCTAAGAAAAGAAATTCTAACTGCATCTTACGGTACCAAGTGAAGTTTTCTTTTTCTCATTAGAGTCACCCCACACAAAACAGCACTAAATAGACGATAATTTCTTCATCACACTAACTAGAATGGTTAATAAAAACAGAGTATATTGGTAAATTAACTAGAATACTCTCGATAAGTATCAATCTTCCTCAGGTTTAAGACGAAATTCCTTTTCAGCCTACCAATCTAGATTCAAATTTGTTTACAACTGACAAGGACATATTTGAACTTAGCCCCAAGAAGAAAGCACAAAATTTAAAGGGTAAAGTACACCCAAAAAATCCCAAACAAAGTAGTAGTAGACCCCCTCCTACTTCTAACTGAAACCAACTCTCACTTAGTCAAACTGATCTTGAGACTGAATACCTCTTGGAACACTAGCATAACACATTTGATGTTCATAATAGCCTAAGGATTTAATTGCAGAAAGCAATATGTTATCAACAAAGAATAAATGAGTAAGCTCCTCAATGTCTTCACTCTCCCCTAACACCATTCCCCTAATAACTGAATGTCTCTTGCGTTTAGTAATCATTCTACTAAGGCCATCCATCACAATAATAGAAAACAGTGAGAGACGGTCAACCTGCCTACAACCCTTAAGGTCTTGAAAAACCTAGATGGGCTGCCATTGACCATGGTTGCAAA